ATATTAAATGAGCAATAAATAATTGTGGTGGCATAAATAATGTAATGTGTTAACATCTATCATTTGTACAGTTGACCCTTGAACAATACTGGGGTTAAGGACCCGTGACCCACAGTCAAAAATCCATGTAGGACTTAAGCTGGTCCTCTGCATAACCTATTCCCAACTACAGATGGATAATACTGTTTTCTATACAGTTGATTGAATTTCTAGATGCAAAATCCAGGGATACAGAGGGCCGGCTCTATATTTATTGAAAAATATTTGTATTCTTTTTGCTTTACTCTGTCCAACTTCTTAATATAAATGTTTAACTCACTAATTGTTAGTTTGTTTTCTTACCTTCAATAAGTATTTAAAGCTAATAAAATTTCTTCTAAGTAATTCTTTAGCTGTATACCACAAGTTTTGATATGTAATCTTGATGCTGTTATTTTAAAAATATTTTTCTAATGATGATAATTTTACTCATGAGGTTTTATAAATGTATTTGTTAATTTCTATCCTTTTCATCGTGACTTAAACTTCTTGTTTTATGTGTATCTCTAGTAAATAGCACAGTTATCTTTTTAAAAAGATTTAGCCTGTCCAGTGTTGCTCAGTGGATTGAGCGTTGTCTCATGAACCGAGAGGTCCCGGTTTGATTCCCTGTCAGGGCACATGCCCGGGTTGCCAGCTCAATCCCCAGTGGGGGGCGTGCAGGAGGCAGCCAATCGATGTTTCTCACATCAGTGTTTCTATCTCTCTCCCCCTTCCTTTTTCTCTATAACATCAATTAAAAAAACCATATTTTTTAAGTCCAGTCTGATAATCTCTGATTTTTAGCTGTGTCTTTAATCCACTTACATATTTTATAGTTACTATAGTAATTACAGTTATAATTAGGATTTTGTTTCTATCATTTTGTCCTGTCTTCTGTTTGTTTTTTGTCCCCTGTAGTTCTTGTCTTTTATTGGGTTTGGATTTTTTTCTCATTCTTGTTTATACTCCTAGTCTGTGAGGTTTATATAAAGTTAGCTCTTGCTGTACAACAATCTCTCTGTCCTCTCCAAAATCAAAACAAACAACAACAAAAACAACTCAGCGGCTTAAAACAATAACCATTTGTTTGGCTCACAATTTTTGGACCATCTGGACCGTGCTTCTGTTCGACGTCAGCTCAGCGGACCTCTGCATCTGTGGCCATTTGGCAGATTGGTTGGCAGTTGATGATCTAAGATGACCTCTCTAGGATCTCTGGTGAGTGGCAGAGCAATAGGGGCGACTATTGACTGGGCCACATGTCTCTTGTCACCTGTCCATCAAGCTTAGATTTCTTTCTGTGGCAGCTTGAAGTTCTAAGAGCTCCAAGTGAGTGAACTCCAATACACAAACACTTTTCATTACTGTGCTTGCTTTTTATTTGCTCAAGTCTGAAGCAAATCACATAGCCAACCCAGATTGAAGGAGTAAAGAAATAGACTTCACTTCTTTTTGGTCAGGGCACATGCCTGGGAAGAGTTTGTGGCTATTTTGCAACCTATCATAAGTATATACTCTCTATTCTTATGTAGAAATTACCCTAGGAATTTTAACATGCATGCTTAATTTCTCATAGTCTGAAGTGAATCGTGATCTGGCCATGACAGAGTAACCAATACCAGATTTTCCCCTTCCCTACATATACCACAAACCACTAGAAATCTGAAAAACAAAAAAAATACCCATATGAAATAAATTTCCCAACATTGATCAATAGGCAGAAAAGGATTATGTTTCTGAAAGAACAGAAACCAACAAGCTGAGTCCTGTGATCATCCTGGCTTTCAGTCCGGGGGTACTTTCTGGACCCTGATATAGGAAGGGAGAACCCAGTCAGAGCACAGTGAGGTAACTGAGTTAAGGAGACAGAGGTTAGGCTTTGGAGAAGCTGAGGCAGTTGGAATTCACGTAGTAGAGTACCAGAGAAGAGGTAGCTACATAGAGAAAGATTTCCAGAGATCTGCACTGGGTTTTGTTTGTTTGTTTGATTTTACCAAATACCTATATATGCATTTATAGGGTAAAACTCCTTGAAGCTGGGCAAAGAACTACAGAGGGGCAACAAGATAAGAATTCCAGGACACACATAGAGTAGGGAGACATTTGAATTCCAACCAGCCAGAAAGGAGAGAACTTTTAAACCACTGGGACCTTTAGTAGAGACTGTAGAAAGGTTAAGCCTTACTAATAGGACCAAACCAGTTCTAGAGTAATAGCTACTGCAGACTTACTCTAACAATGCTTAAAAACAAATCTTGAGCCCTGGCTGGGTTGGCTCAGCAGTTAAAGCATTGGCCCGCGGACCAAAGAGTCGCAGGTTCAATTCCGGTCAAGGGCATGTACCTCAGTTGCAGTTCGGCCCTGGTCAGGGTCATGCGGGAGGCAGCCAGTCCATGTGTCTCTCTCACATCGATATCTCACTCTCTCTCTCTTTCCCTCCCTACCACTCCATCTGAAAATAAATGGAAAAATATCCTCAAGTGAGGATAAAATAAATAAATAAATATACTCAGAGATTTAAAGAAAAATAATATGAAGAAATAAATAAGCAATGTATGGTGAATTCGAATCTTTAACCTCCTCTTCAACAATAGAAAAGAACTTTAAACATTTCAACTCCAACTACTTCCTTCTAATTTCATATGCTAATGTTGTCATGTATTTAATGTTGTCTTTCTTAATTTCATAAGGCATTACTATTATACTTTTATGTGTTTGTTTGGCTTTACCTATGTATTTATCATTTTGTTCTTCGTTATTGTCTTTCATCTTAGACCATTCATCTGCTGTGATCTCTTTTTTTCTGCCTTAAGTACACGTTCTAGAATTTCCTTTCATGATCTCTGCATGTGTTTGAATAATATCTTTATTGAGCCTTCCTTTGCAAAAGATATTTTCACTGGTCACAGAATTTCAGGTTGACAGTTATTGCTTTTAGCACATTAAACACTTTAAAAATATTACTTCACTAACATCTAGCTTCAGTTGTTGCTGTTGATAAGTCATCTGTCATTCCAATTATGACATGTGTGATGGGAGTCTCTTTTTATAATGGCTGCTGCAAAAGTCTTTTTGCTTTAGTTTTGTAGTTTCCTTGTTGTAGGTCTCTGGGTATAATCTTCTTTTTACTTATTCTGTTTGGGATGCATCTGATTTTTTGCATCTATGAATTGAATTCTTTCTTTTGTTCTAAATATTGTTAACCATTATTTCTTCAATTATCCCTCCCCCCCCCCCCCTTTTTTTTGTATCCTCATTCTGGAACTTTAAATAGTCATTTGTCAGATCTTTGCATTATATCCTCTATTATCTTTTTCCTATTTGTCATCTTTTTCTCTTTCTTCTGTGTAATTTTTTCAGATCTAGCTCATAGTCTACTATTTTTGACTATGTCTAAAGACATATACAGAAAGTTTTAAATTTATATATTACTTTTTTAATATGCTTTTTAAATTTCTTTTCAGATATATTGGCTTTTAACCATGTTTTTTGTTTTTTTTTTAACATATGTTTTTATGGATTTTTTTTAGAGAGAGAGGAAGGGAGAGGGAGATAGAAACATTGATGAGAGAGAAACATCGATGGGCTGCCTCCTGCACGCCTCCCCACTGGGGGTTGAGCCCGCAACCCTGGCATGTGCCCTGACCGGGAATACGAACCAAGACTTCTCAGTCCATGGGATGACACTCAATCCACTGAGCTACACTGGCTGAGCTTAAACATATTTTCAGCCCTCTATTTTATTTCTAGAAATGTATTAAATATACTTTTTTTTTTCTTTTCTATTTGATACTTGGTAATTTCAACATCTAATGTGTTTGTATTTCTGATTTTTCTGTCATTTCCGCTGGCTCTTGCTAATGGTTCTTTGTTTCCTGGTGATTTTATGATTTGGTTTTTTGTTTTGTTTTGTGTTGTGTTGCTTCACTATGAACTGATTTTTAAACATTTTCTTTTGGAAGTCTAAGACCTTGGATGAAGATGAGTTCCAGAGGTTTGCTTTAGCTTCTTTTGGGCACCTGAGGGCATCATTGTTCTAGTACTACTTTAAACCTAATTCTTGGCTTTTGATTTTTTTTTTTTTTTAAGTATTCAGGTCGTATGTGTTTGGGCTACAAACTTTCATTAAAACTAGCTTGTGGTTATAGTCTTAGGGGATATAATCTCCTCTTGTTTCCACCTCAACACCAAATTTTGAGATGAGCAAGTTTTGCTGTAGAGTGCTGGTGATAATAGGTGTGGTGGGAAATGGATATTTTCTAATTTGCCTCACACTGAGAGTGTAACGCTTTGGGGACTCAGCTTTATGGGGGTAAGGGGAGAATCTCCTTTTAGATTCTCTATTTTAGATGCTCCTTGGCTTTGGTTTTTAACTTGCATGCTGCACAGTACTATCAAAATTGAACCTTAAGCTCTTCCAGTTTGGGTAGATTCTCCCATATGTCACTTCAATCTCACTTCATCATATTTTGTTATTCAAAATATACATTTTTTTCCCCCACAATTTTTGTTTTTTTTTATCCTCACCCGAGAATATTTTTCCATTTTTTGTACAATAGAGTGGGAGGGAGAGAGAGGAAGGGAGACAGAGAGAGAAACATCGACGTGAAGGGACACATCGAGTGGCTGCCACCCGCACGACCAACCAGGGCCGGGGACAAACTGCAACCGAAGTACGTGCCCTTAGCGGGAACCGAACCCGGGTCTCTCCGGACCGCAGGCCGACGCTCTAACCGCTGAGCCAAACCGGCCAGGGCTTTTCCCCCACATTTTAACATCTCTGAAATCAGTATGCATTTTGAATTGATGGCGTCCTACAATCACTGTCAGCCGGGGTCAGGCATAAAATAGATACATTGTGTTTATTACTATCAAAGTAAAGCATCAAAATGTGCAGGATGAACATCAGTGGCTTGGAAGAAAATCTTGAGGCTGATAGTGGAGCATTTAACCCCGAGGAATCAAATGTCTGTGGAGCGGAGCTATCCGGAGAGTGGATGAGACATATTCAGCAACATTCCTGAAATGTGAGTCAAAGGTGGGTGAGTAACTCTGTAATCGCAAAGTCAGGCTTCAGAGCCCAGAGTCCATGGTTTTTTATTCTTTGAAGGATTATTTTATGAAATAACACATCACTAATGTTCTTGATGACACACACAGAGCATTGTGTGGAAGAGTAAGATGAAATGGGAGAAACTTTTTGGCATATCTGAAGTCAAATTTTTCACTTACATTTTACTGTTTGTATGATTACTAAATCTAAATGATCACCTTCAGTGAATATAAAATAAAAGTTTTAAATTACAATAAAGCATTATGTCATAGTTTAACAGCATTTGTCTTTTCTTAGTAGTAAATAAAGTATTGGTATATCTTTCAACCAATGATGGCTTAGAATAGATGTAATACATTAAATCGTCTTTTCTTCTTGTCAGCTTCTGAGTACACTTGAGAATTTCCAAATATCCAATAATTTTCATTGATTTTAGTAGGTGGTTTACTACTCTAGTGCCTAGTCTTCTATACTACCAGAAATGTAAGTCTTGCATTACTTTTATAATAAAAAGACACATTTTTTTTAAGTGCTTGATTTTGAGAGAGTCTTTCAAAAGGAGAGGAAGAGAACTATAGTAAAAGAAAGGTTCTTTAAGATAAGAAACATTTTAACATGTTTGTTTATTACTTAACTCCTTGTTTCTCATATTTTGTGTATATTTTCTCCTTGATTAGATTTGCTAGAGGCTTGTCTCTTACATAATGTGTGCGTAATCAAATTGTTTTTATTTTCTAATTAAGTTTGTTTTGGTCTTAATTACTCCCATTTTTCTATTTACTTTTGGGGATTTTATTGTTGCTTTTTATATCATCTTTTCTCTCTTTTAAGAAATATAGTATTTTAAAATATACTTTTTCTTCTAAATATGGTTTTGACTTTATCACAAAAATTTAAGTAGGTTGGTATTTTCTTTGTTATTTTTAAAATACATAACTAATAATAATTAGTGATATTTTCCATACACTTTTATAGCCTACAATGTTTGTTTGTTTGTTTGTTTATTTTTATCCTCACCCGAGGACATTTTTCTATTTTTTGTTCAGATAGAGTGGGAGGGAGAAAGAGAGAAACATGGACACATCGAGTGGTTGCCACCCACACGACCCAACCAGGGCCGGGGACAAACTGCAACCGAGGTACGTGCCCTTAGCGGGAACCGAACCCGAGTCTCTCTGGATTACAGGCCGACGCTCTAACCACTGAGCCAAACAGGCCAGGGCTAGCATACACTATTTCCTCTTTTCACATTCTCTTTCTTTTTGTTCAAGTTCTAATTTGTGAACATTTGTTTACTTTACAGGTGACTGGGGACTATCAGCACTCTTAGAACAAGAATACATTTAAACCATTAATGTTTCACTGAAAACAGAAAATGTATCTCATAAAATGATTCCCTTTATTGTCCTTAATGATTTTTCTCCTTAACCTAGGATGCTCATTTATATACATGAACATGGGTAGCCATTATTTGTAGAATATAAAATCTGGAATAATGTTGTGCATTATGAATTATGTTGTTTATATCTCCTATGCCTTTATATATTATCTGCTTAATTTATCATTGATACAATGATTAAAGTCTCCCATTCTATTTATATTTTTATTATTTTCTCATTACAATCCTTTTAATCTACATTATATATTTAGCTGTCATGGTCTATATCAGTTTCTTATTATTATTTTCATTATTGTCTTTTATTGCATACAATGACTCTTGCCTTAAGTGTTTTTTTGCCCTCAATTCTACCATATCTAACATCAGTTACTATCACTGCTTCCCCTTTTTATCAGTTCAGTTTATCTTTGCCCATTTGGTGATGTTTAGCCTTTCTAGGCCTTCAGCTTTTAAGTATCTATATTAATAACTTATTATTTAATTAATTTATATTTTTTGCCTTCTTATATCAGGATGTAGACTGTTTAGAATCATTATAATTATTATACTTGGTTTTGCTTACTTTCTAATTTATGCTTCTGTGAAACTGAATAAAAGAAACCTCATTTAAAATGGAGTCAGAAAGCTAGAAGGGGGTGCTCTCATGTGCTACCACTCAACCTCAATTACACACCCCAACAGGAAGAGACTACCTTGCATTCCCAACAAGAATGTCTTTAATTTACTACCCTAGAAGGAAGAAGGAAGATTTTCTCCTTACCCAGCAACAAGCCCAACCAATGAGAACCATTGCAACTCAGCCAATGAGAAGCCATCACCACTCTGAACTCTCTCTTTTCTCTAACGGAATTTCCTTCACAGTATCCTCCTCCCAACTTCCTCCTTTTTTTCACTATAAAGTAACATTTCTCTTCTTTGTTTGCTAAACTTGCTATACTTTTTTCTATAGCATGCTTTTCCCTAATTGCAGTTCCTTGCTGTTTCTAAATAAACCCACTTTTGCTGGTGAATATAACTTTTTTTTTAATTTTTAAGGTAAACACTTCCTAACTTTTATTTTTCTTTCTTTAGTTCTGCCTTTTCTATGGATTTCACTTTGTTTCCTTTTGTTTATAAAATAAGTTTGGAAGTGAAAGTTAGCCACTTAAACAACAAACATTTATTATCTTACTCAATTCCTGAAAGTTAGGAATCTGACCATGGTTTAGCTGGGCAGCTCTTGCATGGGGTAGATCACAAGGTTGCAGTCTCAGTGTCACCTGATGTTTTAGTCTTCTGAAGATTTGGCAAGGGCTGCAAAGTTTGCTTCCAAGCTTGCTTCCAAGCTCACTGACATGGCTGCTGTCAAAAGGCCTTAGTTTCTGGTGCCTGTTAGCTGGAGGCCTCATTCCTCACTGCATGGACTGATCCATAGGACTTTTCATGACATAGCATCTGGCTTCCCCCAGAGCAAATGATCCAAGAGAGAGGGAGGAGTCAAGATAGAAGCCACAATATCTTGTATAACCCTAATCTTTTATAACCCTAATTTCCCAAATGACATACTATCACTTTTGCTATATTCTTTTTTTTTTTATCCTCACCCGAGGACATTTTTTAAATATTTTGTTCAGATAGAGTGGGAGGGAGAGAGAGAGAGAGAAACATTGATGTGAAAGGGACACATCGAGTGGTCGCCACCCACATGACCCAACCGGGGCTGGGGACAAACTGCAACCGAGGTACGTGCCCTTAGCGGGAACCGAACCCTGGTCTCTCCAGACCACAGGCCGACGCTCTAACCGCTGAGCCAAACTGGCCAGGGCATTTTTGCTATGTTCTATTGATCATGCAGTCTAACCCTAGTGCATTATGGGAAAGGACAACACAATAATGTAACTACCAGGATGCAGGGATGTTGGTAGCTATCTTGGGGGCTGGCTACCTTAAATACTCTGTCTTTAATTCTACTGGTGAATCTCTTAAGTCCAAAAACATCCTTAACTCTATATTTACCTATTTAAAGAGATCTAATAAAAAATAACTTTGGCTATCAAATTATAAGATAAGTAGTTTGGTACATTAAGCTTCATTATCATGATTTCCTCATACTTTCTCATTATTTATTAACTTACTACTGGAGTTTCATAATTCCTAAAATCAATCTCTCTTCTATACCTTTTTCTAATATTATATCAATGAAGAAGACTTACTAATAACTAGTTAATATCACTGTCAGTCAATTTTCCACCAGAGAAAGAGAACCATTAGGAGATACATAGTAATAGATTCAGAGCAAGAAATTGTCTTTTGCAGTTGTGGGGGCTGATAGAAAAGTTTGAAATGCACAGGGTAGGCCATCAGGAGGGCCTGGCTGGAATTCTCTGGCAAGCGGAAGCTTCAGTCCACAGGTGGAATTACTCCTCAGTTTTGCTCTTAAAAGCTTTCAACTGATTGAATCAGGTTCACCCAGATAATCTAGAATAATCTCCTTCACTTAAAATAAACTGATTATGGCCCAGCTGGTGTGGCTCAGTGATTGAGCGTCGACCCATGCACCAAGAGGTCGCTGGTTCAATACCCAGTCAGGGCACATGCCCAGGTTGTGGGCCTGATCCCCAGTGGGGGGCATGCAGGAGGCGGCCAATCGATGTTCTCTCTCTTCAACGTTTCTATTTCTCCCTCTCCCTTCCTCTCTCTCTAAAATCAATAAAGAAAAAATTAAAAATAAACTGATTATGAACCTTACTCATGCCTACAAAATACCTTCAAAGCAATACCTGATTTAGTGTTGGATTGAATATCTGCAGGTTATAGCCTAGCCAAGTTGATACAACACATTGCTTTTCTTCAAAATCACTTTTCTTCAAACAATAGTTTACAAAGCCCTTGGTGCTCTTGAAAACACCAAATATACAAGGCATATGCCTCCTATGTTTTATTAACACTTTGCCACTAATATTGTTTTCTTGGCCAATTTGATTACAAATAAAACTCACATTTGAAATAAATGTCTTTTTTCTCCGATTCCTTTGGTTTTGTTTCAATGGCAAAATATAAAGGTGCTCAGTTTACCTATAGCCCACTTTTTTCATGTTGGAAAGTTAGAATTATTTCATTTTTTTACCAGTAAATTAATTTATTTTTCTAAAGCTATGGTTTGGACTCTGCTAGTTAATTTTGATTTCCACTCTGGACTCTCTTTGTGTCCAATCTCAAATTTTTTCAGGTGAAAATATATTCTTTTATACTTTTATTGATCTCATATATGCCCATTTTTCTGTATTCTTTGAAACTTCTATTATTCAAAGGTTGGTTCCTCCTTTTTCATGTTCTTTTAAAATCCACTTATATTTCTTATTTCTAATATGTTTCTCTAAATTATTTTTTTATTTCACTGACTCTACTTTTTCCTGCTGAATTCATTTTTCTTTTCACTGTTTAATACAATGATCTTACCTGGTGATGTGATCATCCTGACCAGGAGTTGCTTAGTGAATCCATATAAGAATTCTAAAGACTTGATGTTTCCTTGTATCTTCAGGAATTAATTTTCAGCTCCTCTTTAACATTTTTATAGCTCTTATGGTTTCTCCATTTCAATGTTTGGGTTAACTGTGAACTAATATGGTATTGTTATTTTTCTACACACTGTATTATTACTTTCATGTATATGCCTAACTGCCTTGAGTTTAATTTATTGAGTCTTACTGTTGATACTGAGATTTTTCTTAGTTTCAGTGATTTGTTTCTTTAGGAACTTGGAGAGCATGGGAAGTCTGAAGTCTCAGGCAGTGACTCTTTGCCATCTTGGAAATCCTGAGGTGTGTACTTTTAATTGATTGTGTTTGTATTGTGTTGTGTGTTTTTTAAAAATACTATAGCCCTAGCTGGTTTGGCTTAGCAGTTAGAGCGTCAGCCCATGGACTGGAGAGACCCGGGTTTAGTTCCCGCTAAGGGCACGTACCTCGGTTGCAGTTTGTCTCCGGCCCGGGTAGGGGTTGTGTGGGTGGCAGCCGCTTGATGTGTCTCTCTGACATCAATGTTTCTCTCTCTCTCTTCCCCCCTCTCTCCCTCCAGCTCTATCTGAAGATAAATGCAAAAATGCCCTCGGGTGAGGATAAAAAATAAATAAAATAAAATACTATGGCAGAGTGTTTAGACTAGCAGGCCAAGAATCAAGAGGATTTTAATTCTGTCACAGCTGCCCTACTAAATACCCTATGTAACCTTGGCCAGTGCCTTCGTTTTTAAGGATTTTAATTTTCCCATCTACAAAGTGTGGAAAACAAACAAACAATAAAACCTGTCCTTACCTTTTAGGAGTGTCAGGAAAAATGTAAAGTTTATGAGAAAGCCAAGAAAATTCATGCCTTTCAGCAAAAATCAGGCTAAGGATAGGGCACAAAAAATGGGAAGGAAGAGCAGGAAGTTGAAAACAAGTGAAGGAAATCTCTCCTGCATTCTGCACTTGTTTATCACGCATCCACATGATAAGCACCCTGTTGGTTGTTTTATGTAAGCTGTTTCAGGTCAAGTTCACAACTTGGTGAGTTGGGTTCACTTTTTTTCTGATTTGGCAGTAAGGAAACCACTCAGTACTAATTCAAATAATCCTAGCTCTCTGTACCTTTTAAATTGTGTGACTTGAGTAAGTTCACTCAATTCAGAAAGGACCAAGTTAGAATCAGAACTCAAATCTGTGAATAACAGGACATTTTCCTCACACTATACCATGTTGTTCCACTGTGATGAAGGAACAGCAGCAAAACTGTGGCACTGAATAGGGCATGGGGTACAGATGTTACTTTCTCTCCCTTTGTGCCCGCCTCCCTTCATTCCTTCCCTCCTTCCTTCCTCCCTTCCTCCATTTGTAAAATTACAAATGATTACAGGCAAACAGGAAAGTACAAATTTATTTATTTATTTTGTTAATCCTCACCCAAGGATATTTTTTCATTGCTTTCTAGATAGAGTGGAAGGGAGGGAGGGAGAGAGAGAGAGAAACATCTATGTAAGAGAGATACATCGATTGGTTGCCTCCTGCACAACCCCGGCTGGGGCCAGGGATCAAACCTGCAACTCAGGTATGTGCCCTTGACTGGGAATCGAACCCAAGGCCCTTTGGTCCATGGACTGGTGCTCTAACCACTGAGCCAAACTGGCCAGGGCTATAGTGACTTACTTATTTATTTATTTATTTATTTATTTTTATTTTTTTTTTATTTTTTCCTCACTCGAGGACATTTTTGCATTTCAGATAGAGGAGGAGGGAGAGAGGGAGGCAGAGAGAGAGAAACATCGATGCGAGAGAGACACATCTACTGGTTGCCACCTACACAAGGTCCGGGGACAAACTGCAACCGAGGTACGTGCCCTTAGCGGGAACTGAACCCAGGTCTCTCTGGACAGCAGGCCAACACTCTAACCCCTGAGCCAAACCGGCCAGGGCTATAGTGACTAATTTAAAACAATGTATCCACCAATCAGTTTGTCAAATCTTAACATTTGTCTGTGCTTGCTTCAGATTTTCTTTTTTAACGAAATCAAACATTACCGTACATACATAGTTGAACCCTTTGTACCCTCTCTCTTTCTTCCCACTGGTGCTCATTATATTACTATATATCATTTTCACACATGCCTTTATTATTGATATTATTTTTTAGTCCTCACCTGAGGATATTTCTTCATTGATTTTCAGAGAGAGAGTGGGAGGGAAGGAGAGAGAGAGAAACATTAATGTGAGAGACACATCAACTGGTTTCCTCCCACCCAACCCTGGCCAGGGCCAGAGATCAAACCTTCGTGCCTACCTTTATGCATTTACTATATACTTAATATATGCTAGAGTTTTGCCTGTTTCTAAACTTTATTTAAATGATGGCACACTATAAATATCATCCTGCAAACTGCTTTTTTCATTCAGGATTATTTTTTATATTTATCCCTGTTGGTATATGTAACGGTAGTACATTCATTTTAACAACTGAATATATTTTATTGAATGAATATACCTCAATTTTTTTTTTTTATTTAGTTACCTTTGATGGACATTTAGATTATTACCAAATTTCAGTGTTACATTAATGCTGCAATGAATATTCTTGTTTATTTCTCACTGTACATGCATATGAGAGCTCTCTAAGAATAATACTGTGGAGTCATACATTATATGATCTTCAACTTTATTAGTTAATATTGCCAAATCACTACCCAAAGTGGTCGTACCAATTTACCTTGTACTAAGCAGTACATACATTTCTAGTTCTTCACATCCTCACCAATACTTGTTTTTGTAGACTTTAAAATATTTTTTGGTCTGATGAATATGAACAAAACCTGTTTTAATTTGCATTTCTTTCATTAGTAGAAAATTGAGTTTCTTTTCTTGTGTTTACTGGTTATTTGAGTTTTGTTTTATGAATTGCTTGTTCATATCTTTTGCCTATTTTTTAAAAAATATGTTTTTATTGATTTTTCTTTTCTTTTTTTTAGAGATAGAGGAGGGGAGAGAGAGAGAGAGAGAAATATCAATGTGAGAGAAACATCAATTGGCTACCTCCTGCACGTCCCCTACTTGGGATCGAGTCAGCAACCCGAGCATGTGCCCTGACTGGGAATTGAACTGGGACTTCTCAGTCCATGGGACGTCACTCAATTCACTAAGCCACACCAGCCAGTCATCTTTTGCCTATTTTTATTGCTATTTTTTTTATTGTGTTATAAGGATTCTTTATATATTCTAAATATTAACTCCTTGTCAGTTATGTTTATTGTAGTTGTAGTCTCCTATCCTGTAGCTTGTTTTTCATTTTATTTAAGGTGTCATGTTTTACAGAAATTATAAGTTATAATACCATCAAAATAATTGTTCTTTTTCCTTAAGGTTTATATCCAGTGTCATAAAAATTCTCCAATAGTTTTTTCTAGAAATGTTAAAATTTTGCTTTCTGCATTTAGGTCTTTGATCTATCTGGATTTTCCTTTTTATACATGATATAAAATAGGGATATATTATAATTTTTCAATTATGAGTTATTGATTGTTCTAATATATTTTTCAATATTCTATTTTTTTGGCTGAAAAATTTATAATGCCACCTTGACCATATTTCTATGTGTCTGTGCCTAGCTCTCTATTCTGGTTTACTGGCAAGCTTGACAATCCTGTACTATTATCATGGTGCTCAATATCATCTTTATTATGTTTGTTTTTTTAATTAAAAACAATTTTTTTCTTTATTGATTTTAGAGAGAGAGAGAAAGGGAATGGGAGAGAGATAGAAACATTGATGAGAGAGAACATCGATTGGCTGCCTCCTGCATACCCCCCACTGGGGATTTGGCCCACTACCTGGGCATGTGCCCTGACTGGGAATCGAACCAGTAACCTCTTGGTGCATGGGTCAACGCTGAACCACTGAGTCACACCAGCCTGGCAAGGTTTTGTTTTTGTTTGTTTAATATCCCCATGATTTATTAATTTTGTAACTGGAAGTTTGTACCTTTTAATCCCCTTCACCCATTTTTCCCACTCCCACCCCACCTCTGACAAACACCTATATAGGTCTTGCTATCTGGGAGGGTACGTCCCTCTATATTGTTCTTCTTTATAATTATCCTGGCTATTCTTGGTCCTTTAATCTCTCATGTGAAGAATAGTTTCTACAAAACAAGTCTGTTGGGGTTTGTTTTGGAATTTCATTGAATTTCTAGATTAACTTGTGCCTAACTTTCTTTTTAACCTTTAATATTGAGGCTTCCCATCCTTGAACATAGTATATATTTTTCATTTAGTTAGTTTTATTTTATGTCTTAAAATAAAGTTTTAGAATCTTCTCTGTCAAGATTTTTGAAGTTTTTTTATGTAGCTTTTAAAATTTTTTCCTTGTTGATAATAACAACAAGTACAATAGCAGGAAACGTGGGCATGAGTACTCAAAAGGCTCTGAAGAATAAGGGAGGAAAAGTTTGTAAGGGCCATCCAGTTATGTATTGATTCTTATGAGGGCTTTGTTCTGTGTCAACAGGAGCTAAGCCAGAACTACATTTCCCATAATTCCCACCTCTGTGTGCTTCTTGGTTAGAATTGTCCACAGAAACATTTGCATACGATTTTAAAGGTGAAAGTGAGGTAGTAGTCAATTTTGTGCTTTGAAAACAGCATAGGGCAGGTGGAGGTCACATGTATTCAGTTATCCACTGGCTCATTTTGTGGGTTTGGAGCAGAAAGCAGTTCCCACTGGATTTCCTCCTTCACCTTGTCCAAATCCTGGGCCCTGGGCCTGTACAGCTCCACAGTGAGCAACGCCGGCTTCTTCTGCAGATTGCCTGCAGCACTTAGAACAGAGCAGCGAGGAAGAGACACACGCTTCCTATTTGTCCTCAGGGGTTTCACTTTGTCCTTTGTCTCTCCCACATCCACTCTGTCTTCCCTTTCTGACTGTTGGCCTTGCCGATTTCAGGCCCAGCACCACAAGCAGAAGTAACAGGATTATATGAGCTGCTTAAATAGCTCCCCTGATTACTAAAGACCTAATCCCTATAATACCTCCTTATTCTGTATCACTCATAGTGGTCTGCTTCCTTGATCAAATCCTAACTGATATAATTCCCATTTCCCTAAAGGTCCCAGAGGGAACAGCAGAAAAATAGAGTGAAGAATATGATTAATTGCATCTGGCCTCAGAGGGAAGGAGAGAATATCTCGGGGAATCCAGGCACAAGATATAGTTCTTTCAGTAAAATGCATGAAGATGGATGCTGTGGAAACTGCAATGGCCAATGTCGATGGAAAGGAGTCAGACATACTTCCACAGTGCTGCCCAGATCCAGAGTCCATGAGCAGGAGGCACATTTGGCAATGCAGTTTATTTGGTAATTAATTCCGTTTTATTGTGGGCGATGTATTTTAGAAACCCCTCACTATAACACTTGACACAGCATACACTTGACATTGGTTTGTGGAATTAATCAAAATAAGACTGTCTATTCTGGAGAATATTGTGAGGCTCACCTTTGCTGAAATACCATTAATTGGACCAAAGAGAAATAGTATTGGCCTGTGTTTGAGAGACAACATGGATATTTAAAGAGACAGGACAATTTTGTCTATTTTACAGGAAAATATGGATTGGATGACAGAATCCCTGAACTTTGGAACAGGAGATAAGTTTAGGGTAGCCCTCATTTTCTAAACTGACTTGTCAAGGTCAAGGCAAAGTTTGAGTCAGAATTATGTTCAGAGGAATCTCAGCACATTTGCTCTATTTGAGTGAATTTATGTATTGGTGATTGAAAAGTTAAACCCAGATACTGATAAGATCAGTTTTAACTTGGAGAGAGATCTCTAAACAGCCAGGCCTTACCTCGTTCAATATTTTCTTCAACAATGTGGATAAAGATCTATGAGAAATACCTATGAACTTTTCAAATGATATAAACCGTAGTAGCTATAATCTGCCATATTTATCTAGGGAGTTGGGATTCCAAATTCTAATTAAGAGGTTATAATTTTAGGCTAAAAGGTAAAAATTGATGTGAGTAATTGGAAAATCCAGCATATACATTAAAATATATAATAAGTATAGGAAGGGGAAAACTTGGTTTGGTAGCAGTTCATGGGAAAAAGGCCTGGAAATTTACAGGAGCCAATGAGTGACGCAAAAAGGAACTTTAAAAATGTTTATATAGTTGATAGATGCAAGAAGATGGAGGAAGCAGGATGAGTTGAAGATACAGATATGGGTACAATTTAAAGAAAGGCATGATCCCTGGCCAGTTTGGCTCAGCAGTTAGAGTGCCAGCCCGCAGACCAAAGAGTCACGGGTTCGATTCCTGACAAGGGTCCATACCTCGGTTGCAGTTTGCCCCTGGCCCCGGTTGGGGTTGTGCAGGTGGCAAACAATTGATGTGTCTCTCTCACATCGATGTTTCTCTCTCTCTCTTCTTCCCTCTCTCCCTCCTGCTTTATCTGGAGATACATGTAAACATATCCTTGGGTGAAGATAAAATAAAAAATAAAAAAATAAAGAAAGACATGAGACCACACTTTAAGCTGTGGAATTTAAATCTTTTCTTAGAAATCCAGAGAAGCTGGTGCATAGCCTGTGGGTCTCCCTACTAAGTGGACCTCACTTCCGTCCTGTTGTTCCCCTCCTCACCATACACCTGTGGCACTCTGCTCTCACGTGTGTCGTGTCTGTAGGCCACCTGTCCTCCCTGCTCACCTTAATTCTATCTTTCATTGAAACCCAGCTCCAGTCCCACCATTTCTCAACCCCGCTCCCCTGTGAACTTCTTTAGCATTTATTTAACTTGAATCCTATACTACCTTTCAGTTGTTACTTTTATATAACGATTGTTAAATTGGTGATACTGGTGTCAATAGTGACACATGGCATTGGCAATATATAAGAATTAACTGGGGTTAATCAACTTTGAGCTGAGGCGACTCCTTTCTAAGAACATATACATGCTAACTAACTGTGAAAGCTAAAGAATGAAGTCGCTTGGAAAAAGCACTGTTCTAGGATGGCTTGGAAATTTGGCTTTTTTCAAAAACAGTAAAACTACCTTAGAGCAAAAAGGGCATCACAGAAAGAGTCCCCGGGTGTTAAGTGACTTTGCCTGAAGGTACTAAATGAGAGTGAAATTTGATTCCCACTGTACTGGGTCCTACACTATGTCTATCAGGTAAGGTTCTTAGGAGTTTAAGTTGTAAGAACCAGATTAAATTTAAACAACCATGGCTGAGTTAAACAGAAAAGGAATATATTTGGTTACCACCGGTACTCAATGTACATTTACTGAGTGCATTCTGGGCTAGGCATCCTTCTAGGCCCTGGGGGTATAACAAGAAACAAAGGTCCCTACTCTCAAGGAGCTTACATTGTAGTAGGGGAGACAGACAGTAAACAAGCAGAGAAGAAAAATAAAGAAGAAATCTGGCAGAGGCGAGGAGTCTATTTTAGATAAGGTCACATTTCAGTAGACACGTGATCGGAGCAAGGAAACAAGGCACAGGGACGGAAGAGCATTCCCGGCAGAAGGAACAGCGCGGCGTAAGGCCCGGCAACGGGAGTGTGCCCCACATCCTGAAGAGGAGTGACAGGGGGGCCAGTGTGGCAGAGCAGAGGAGCACTGAGGAAGTGATGGGGACAAGATCGGAAAGACAGCAAGCAGGGGCCAATCAGAGACCCGAGAGGTAGTTTGCATTGTGTTTGGGGTAAGATGAGCTGTAGGATGGCTTTCAGCAGAGGAGTGACAGGATCTTGACTTATGCTTTCACAAGGTCACTGACGACTGTGTGGGACAGGACTGGAGGGAAGCAAAGGCGAAGGCTGTTAAAAGGCTGTTGCTGTAATCCAGTGAGGGATGATGGCAGCTGGGGCCAGGGTCTGCCGGTGAGGGGTAGACCACATCCAGAATTTCCAATGGATTGGGTATAGCGTTTCCAACAGACTCCATGATGTGGCCGAAGTTTGGGCCTGAGATGCTGTTGGATAGGTCATAGGATTTCCTGGAGACTGACGCTTGAAAATAGGCATAAATAAAGAGGCGGGAGGGAGCTGTAACCACCGATAAAGGCTTATCACAGGCCGATCTGACGAAGCTTCTCTTGCTGCCCGCGCTGGTCACCCCCACCGCCGGTGTGGAGACTGGACACTGCTGTTGCTAGAACAAATTTTCCATCTCCCTGCTTCTTCCTCTGCATGGACATTTCCTGAGGCAAAAGCCCAGGTGGGCCTCCCCGCTGGTTGTGCTCGGATCACACACCTGTACCCTCGCTGGCAGGTGCTGGCGAAGTGGGTGGTCCTTCCACTTCCATAGCAGGACACTGACCCTGCTCTTCTCCGATACGGGGGAGGCCCCGATGGAGGGCGAGGACGGTGCACCACATGCTGTCAGAACCGTCGCTGGAGGCTGCTGGTGCCGGAAGCTACTGGAATTCATTTAAGAGCTAGATGTCTCAAAGGAACTTGAAAAACCAATCTGAGAGGATTTCCTAACCGTGAGCACTTCACACTCAACAGGAAGACGAACGGTTGGGTTATCACACGACGGCACGGAGTATCAGTAACAGACTTCCTTTCGCTTTGCCCGCTCTGCTCACCACAGCCCTGAGGCTGGATCTCGCAGGAGGGAGGCTTGCTTTCAAGGCACCCGGGGCCCTGTCTGTGTATTATTTATCCTTCGTAATCACTGCAGCATCAGGGAAAGTGAGGCCTAACAGCCCCCCGAGGATTGCTGAGGGAACCGAATGTACTTGAAATCCAGGGGCTCCACCACAGTCAGGTATCGCTGAGCATTGTTTTATAAAGTGTCTGACCTCTGTAAGAACCTTCACAAAACCCCACAAACACCTCCGTGGAATTGTGGAAGGCCTTGGAAAACAACGTTTGAAACCCAATGGGTAATGCAAAGAACACCAGACCGGGCATCTGAAGACCTGGGGTCTGGGTTTAAGTTACTACATCTCTGTAAGTTTTCTCTTATTTAAAAAACTTTTTTCTTTATTGATTTTAGAGAGAGAGGAAGGGAGAAAGAGAGAAACATCGATTGGCCGCCTCCCGCTTGCCCCCCACTGGGGATCGAGTCCACAGCCTGGGCATGTGCCCTGACCCGGAATCAAACCAGTGACCTGTTGGTGCATGGGTAGACACTCAACCTCTGAGCCACACCAGCCAGGCATCTCTGTACATTTTAATATCTTTCAGCCTTCGCTCCCTCTTCTGTAAAATGGAAAGAATAGCCATATGAAACCTAGCTAAACTATGAAGTGATCCATGAAGTTAGAATAACTTCGCACAAGCACGTGGCACCAAGAATGTCAAACCCAGAGCGCGTAGGTCCTACGTCTGCGTTGCCTCATAAGTTCCTGCTGTTCTGGAAGATAGGAGGCCCAGAGGCTCACCGCCTTGCCTCCAGCGTGTTACAGCAGCAGGGATGATGAAACCAAGCTCACACCTTTCCTGTCGCATCACTTGAAACACCTCCTCTGAGCCCCGGCTTGCTTTCCCGCCTCGAGGTGTTAGGTCAGTTGTGAATTGATCTCCCAGGTTCAGGTATTACTGCATGCCTCTCAGCTCCCCTCAGGGACGGCTTGCTTGTTCTTCCTGCATCTAGCTACCCCAGGTGCTGTTTTCCATATTTGGTCCCAGAGCCCCCTCCTCAGAGACGTTTCCCCACAGCCCTGGGGAAAAGCCAATTAGCTAGCAAATTCCCACTTCCTACCCGCCTTGGTCTCCCCTGGCATAGGAGCCATTCCATGGTTTGTGATTGGCTTCCCGGGGGAGGCAGTCCTTGGGGCGGCTGCCTTTGTTTGGAATGCATGGATGTGAAGCCCACAAGTTGCTCTGTAGGTTCTTTAAACTCCTCTTCCGTGGGTGGGTTGGATAGGGAACTTCCCCCAAACTTCCACGTCTTACCTTTGGGAGATAATCTTCCAGGTCTGGCCACAGCTGGAAGTATGAAACTGACAGGGCACTCGAGCCCCAAGCCCCTCGAGAGAATTGGGGCGAAGCAAGAGTTCGTGGCAGCATGGCCTTAGGCATTGCCTGTTCTCTGTGAGAGGAAGGAGAGGAGGAGAGGGTGCCGAGAATTCAAGAAACTGGGGCCGTGGGGAAGGCGGTAGGGCGCAGTGTCTGTAGTTAGGCACTGAATGGGAACAAGTTCTAAATTAAAATTTGCAATAAATATACGTGAAATGACATCTCATCTATTTGTGGGGAACCCTTGTAGTTCCGAGCATGTGAAGTAGGGAAAGGAGATGAGGGCAGTTCTTTGGACTTACTGCATTTAAAACAGACATGCCCAGAAAACCCTGTAGAAGGGAGTGGGTGACTCTGCCCCTAAACCTCCTGGTGACTC